AGGACTTCCGATCAGGTGGCAGAGCGAAGAGCTCTGCAAATCTTCGTCCTCCTCCGAAAACTATGATGCCGAAAAACATTGTCCAAACCAATTATTTAAGGACCCTAATAATCAGCCGAAGTCAAGCAATGAGTGGAAAAGAGTTTCTAACTGGAAAATTGCTGAGTGGTAGGGAAGAAGAGAGGCTATGGTCTTCCTATCTGGGGCTGCTCCCACTCACGTCCCTCCACCAGAGTGCGGTCACCATGGAAACCAACAACTTTGCTGCCCCAGGCTCTGAATGCATTTGAAGGGGAGTGGAAAATCACACAACCCAGCACTGTCAGAAGCCTTAGTAACCTTGCGCTTGTGCTAAGGTCGCTTTAGTCACGTCCAACTCTTTCTGACCCTAGGTAGCCTGCCAGGCTCCTCTGTCCATGGGATTCTCCAGGCAAGAATCCTGGAGCGGGTTGCCGTGCAAACAAATGCTTCCAGCCATCCTCACAGCTGCCTGAGGCTGCATTTCCACTCGGGCTACTCCCCAGAGCAAGTGGACTAGTTATGAATGCAATAGGAAAGGAAATCCTGGACATCAAGAGAGCCATGGAGGGCTTTGATCAATTTCCACACATCTTGGGTTGACTAGTAGAACCTAAAAAGGCCTGGTGGGAAGAAAAGGTACGATGGATACAACAATTCTTGAACTGGAATATATTTCCAAATTAACACACAAGATACATCAACAAAGCCCCTAACTGGATAGAACTGTTTGAATGCAACTTCTGTCTAATTAATGACTGACACTAAATTACAGACAGCCAAATGCAACCCCAGGAAATAAGGCTTAGACATTAAAAAAACCTGAACTACAGCTTCAAAATGTAATTGAAAACATAATTTTAAAGAGATGGAAAAGTTGCTACACAGTTCTGAAAAACGGAAGGCAACAGAATGCATTCACATTAATATTTATATTGTTCTTCATTTATTCAGCCACTGTTTATATTTATTTCAATCTGGACCAGACTTCTCAGGTGGCACCAGTGGAGTGGAAAATCACACAACCCAGCACTGTCAGAAGCCTTAGTAACCTTGCGCTTGTGCTAAGGTCGCTTTAGTCACGTCCAACTCTTTCTGACCCTATGTAGCCTGCCAGGCTCCTCTGTCCATGGGATTCTCCGGGCAAGAATCCTGGAGCGGGTTGCCGTGCAAACAAATGCTTCCAGCCATCCTCACAGCTGCCTGAGGCTGCATTTCCACTCGGGCTACTCCCCAGAGCAAGTGGACTAGTTATGAATGCAATAGGAAAGGAAATCCTGGACATCAAGAGAGCCATGGAGGGCTTTGATCAATTTCCACACATCTTGGGTTGACTAGTAGAACCTAAAAAGGCCTGGTGGGAAGAAAAGGTACGATGGATACAACAATTCTTGAACTGGAATATATTTCCAAATTAACACACAAGATACATCAACAAAGCCTCTAACTGGATAGAACTGTTTGAACGCAACTTCTGTCTAATTAATGACTGACACTAAATTACAGACAGCCAAATGCAATCCCAGGAAATAAGGCTTAGACATTAAAAAAACCTGAACTACAGCTTCAAAATGTAATTGAAAACATAATTTTAAAGAGATGGAAAAGTTGCTACACAGTTCTGAAAAACGGAAGGCAACAGAATGCATTCACATTAATATTTATATTGTTCTTCATTTATTCAGCCACTGTTTATATTTATTTCAATCTGGACCAGACTTCTCAGGTGGCACCAGCGGCAAAGAATCCACCTGCCAATACAGGAGACATAAGAGATGCCAACTAAGTTCCTCGGTTGGGACAATCCCCTGGAGGAGGAAGTAGCAACTCACTCCAGTATTCCTCCCTGAAGAATTCCATGGACAGTGGAGTCTGGCAGACTATAATCCATGGGTTGCAAACTGTCAGACGCGACTGAGCACATAGACACACACACACACACACACACACACACACACACACACACAGAACCAGACACTGTGCTCATTGCCAAGGTATTAATACGACAGTGAACGTGATAAGGTTGAAAGCAAAAAGTTTGTATTCTAGAACTAGAGTTTTCTCTTTAAATCTCAGATTTTGGTCAGATGACTCTGGTCTGGTACACAGTCTCAAATTTCTAAAAGTATGTAATTTTTATGACATATGATTTAAGTAATATTTTGAATAACAGAAGTGAAGTAGTCAAATACATAACCAAATAATTTTAAGTGACAGCATTTTGTTTTACTTGGTATAAAGAAAATAACATTAAATATAACTAAGGCAAACAAGGTCTCACTGTACAGCACAGGAAAAAAATATAACTAAGGCATCTGTGTTTTAGTGGAAGCTCTAGTACTTTCTGAGTAGTCTCTGACAAAATACTCTACCGAGTTCTGTTTCTTTATTCTTACGGTAAAGCAGATTTGACTAAATTTCTAAGGTGATGCCTTAATCTCAAATTCTATGACTATTAGTAAGGGCATACAACAATATACATTAACATAAAATATTTATAAGAAACCTATCTAGATTAACTTTAATGAGTGCAATCCACTCATAATTAGCATAGCATTTGTAAGCACATATACATTTTCAAGGTGGTATTGAAATAGCTTATTTTCTTAACTAGATAAAACATTGCATGAGAAACCTTATTTATAAGGGTTTATATTAATATATGATATTGGAGTCAAACCATATGTCATAATATATTCACAAAAATATACAAGGCTCATAATTGCCTAGACTTGATTGTCTCAGGAAGATCAAGACCCGTGATGTTTATTTTTCTAACAAATACCACACAGTGATTGTTCACAAGCATTGTTCTAATCATGTAACACATATCAGTTCATTTAATCCTTGAGACCTTCCTAAGAAGGGCTATTATTATTAGCATATTTGTTTTACATTAGGAGAAGACTGAGGTACCAACTTGCCTCGGGTAGTAAGGCAGGATAAGATTAACTTCCTCTTGGCTACTAAGTGGCGCATGACCTCAGTTCAAACTCAGGACTGCTGGCTTCCAAGTCCCTTCCTCCCATCCACTCTGCCCTGTGGCCAGAGCTTATAAAGCTATGGGCTTGTAAGACGGTACCCAAAGAGGGAAAGTATGGAAGTTATTTAAGACAATAATATTTCTTATTTCCCTTAAACACACACACACAGACAAGTCCTCACACTCTCACACAGTACTCACATGTACAAAAACCCAAAGGATAAATGTGTCAGATTAGAAATTTACATATATATATACAGACACACACACACACACACACACATATATATATAAAACCACCAAAGTAGTGGAGATATGGAAGTCACAGTCTTCAGTATTTTGGGATTAAATTTCTAGTGCCTTACTTTAGGTCACAATCCAAAACTGAATCCCCGTAAATGTTATGTCATTAGCAAACATGCTGACGTATAATGTTAGTTCCTCCAGCCTGTATGCTTTACCAAAATATTTAGTTTCATATTTCAACATATGTATATGACAGATACATCCTTTATTTACCAGTTGGAAAAAATACCTTTCTAATTTAAGGGTCCTCTCTTACCTCTGCCTTAAATAAACAAGTAACAAATTCAACTTCCAAATTATTTTATGTTGGTTGACTCATTCCAGTCGGTCTCTGACCTGGAATAGCATGTGCCCTGCTCTCCACACTGGCATCTTTGTTCCATCCATAGTGATATTTGTACTTCTCAAATGCACAACAGAAGGTTTCATACTCAGATCCTGAATCTTCCCTATGAGTGCTGAGAGATAATTTTTGAAAAGAGTCTTTTCTAATAACCAAACGTGTGTGTATGGCTGAGATGCTCATGTCAGGCCTCAAAGACATCCTCATACATTTGTCCAAAAATTATGGTAGAACTCCACTGAACAAAGAAAATGCCAAGAGACATGAAATGGGGTAAAAGAGAGGGCTTCAGAAACCTCTCAGAAAACATACAATACAGAAAGAGCACAGGCAAGCATCACCTCACCATGGAAAGACCACAGCCGTTAAAAGAAAAGTGAAGCTAATGACATGCCAGATAAGAAGCAGCCTTTTCAGTGCATCATATGACATTCCTTTTTGCACTCTGGGAGCCTGTCCCGTGTTTCCTGTTGTGCTTTTGAGTCAGTCTTTGTAGGAAAGAGATAAGTTCACTAAAATTTCTAATTAACGTATGTCCTTGCTGATAGACCCTGGGAAAGAGGCACTTCTTCCTTCCCATTATGGCTTATATTTTAGATTTAATTACTGTAGAAATGAATCAGGAAACATGACTTCAGGCAGAACATTTTAAATGTCGGCAGAGTAATCATATTAATTCTCCATTTTAAAGGATCCATTATCCCATCTTTATGATGAGTGATGTGAAAATAATTTTTAGGAAAGAGGTTAAAGATGGGAAGACCCTATAAGCCATGGTAGGATGGCCCATTTGTTGCCATTTTTTGGATAGTTGATTTGTTTGGATAAAGCCTTAGTTTTATTTTATGTGTACACATAATGACTTGTACTTAAAGGAACTGTACTCTTCAAGTGTTATATATGAAAGAACCTGAACCCTTCAACTTGGGTTTAAATCTGTTAATGAAATATATCCTCCATTCACATGATCAAAATCTGGCCACATTTTTTTATTGTCTAAAATGAACAGAGGAAATACTTAAAATTATTTTCTCTTTCATTTCATGAGCTCGAAGTCAAGGAAATGCAGTGAAGTTACTAAATGCTTGCTCCTCCAGTAAAATATGTATTATGGGAAAAAAAAAACCTTAAAATAACCATAAAAGAAAAAATAAGGTCTTACTGTACAGCACTTGGAACTATATTCAATATCCTGTGATAAACCATAATGGAAAAGAATATGAAATGAATATATATATATGTATAACTAAATAAGTTTGCTGTATAACAGAAATTAACACAATATTATAAATCAACTACACTTCAATAAAAATTTTTTAAAAAGAAAGAAGTTGAAAACATGTGGGCTACCTTCTCATACAATCCAGTGCTCGGATAAAGAAGTCCTTGTGTAACTGATGCTCATCTCTCAGGATTGAGCACTGTTCAAGCGTCACAGACATCGATGTCCTGTCTTTGGCACTTTTACAACAGGTGAAACGAATGCCATTTAGTTTGCGACAAATCTGTAACAGACGTAGACATGGTTTCTTGTTTATTTGTAGATTACTCTCAAGCGTCAGAGTCCTCTAAATACTCATAGTCTAAACTTACCAAATTTATGCTAATTTATGAGAGTCAACTGTTTCAATATGCCCTGTGGAATGGAAAAATAATACCTTTTCATTTCAAAAGTTGATGGAATAGATTTAATTTATTTAGCTCTTTGTACATGAGGTGAGGGGCTGTTGAAGGCATGTAAGATGGTAAATATTCCTCAGAGGCAGCGATGCTCTGAGAGGGTATCTAAGCTGCAGGGGCTAATGATAATAATCACAGCTCAGAAGTAACCTCTTATTAGTGAAGGGGGGGAAAAAACCTGTATTTCCTGGATAAGCCACTTGCTTTGAATCTTAAAGAGCTAATATCGTCTCACATATATTTGAAATAACCTTTGCTAATCTCTGTGGGATATTATGAGACTTTAAACATCTACATGGTGCCAAGTGCAGCAGATAAGGAAACCACTCATCAATGCGACTAACAAGAACTAGGACGCTCACAATGGCCACTGTTAATTGCATATCCACTGTGCACTGGTATAATGCTAATAAATTTCACATAGATCTGCTCTTCTAATTTAACTGCACATGAACCCTGGAGGAAAGCACGTTCATCTTATTTTACAGATGAGAAAACTGAACTTTAGATAGGTAAGATGGCTTATGCAAACAGAGCAGAGCCAAGGTGCTAACATCACTCTATCTAACAAGGACCAAGTCTTTAAATTTTGTCCCATTCTGCTTCTCTCTGTAACTCTTTTTTTCTTGTTATTCTGATGTAAGTCAGAAGAAGAATCTCTGAGTAGCAATAATTTATGGGCTCATTGCCTTCTAGGTAACAGGTGAATCACTCCATTCTTTTTTCTTCCCTAGCCCTGGTAATGCTCTGATATGAGATACCAATCATCAACATAGCATCAACAATGTTAATCAACATGCACTTAAGAGACATTTAATGTGATGAAATACAGGTCTGCTTTATTATTTGCCATCAAGGAAGCCTTAACAGTTGCCTGCTTTGAAGAGAGGGTATAATAATACAGTTCATCAAGGGTTTTTACCATGATTTAAATATGACTAATACTTAGCTTTAGGATTTACAACTCCTTAATAGACCTTAGGTAAATACTTTCTCACCATCTTTAACGTGGCTAGAGAAATGTGAAAGCATAATTTCAACATATAATCTTTTTTCATCTAGAAAACTCTAATGCTTTTAAATAAACAGTATTTCAAAATTTTGCATATAAAATAAAAAAAGCTTTACTAAATTTATAATAACAGTATATAGACCTCAATGGTCACTTATGAGAGATGATCTTTTAAAAAGAGTGAATATTCTTTAAAATGCACTGTCACAATTATATGCAGCTATCCTATTAAGGATATTTCATGTGCCAAATTTAAAACAAAGAGAAAGCTTGGGCAATTCCTTCAAAGCAGACTGGTTGGGTCTTCATTTTTGTATTTAGAGCTAAATGAGCTTAATTTAACATTTAATTTAACATTAGCTTAATTTAGTGTTTGGTATTTTTAAGTTCTCATTTTCAGCTTTAAAAATTCATTAAGATAAAATCAAATAGCTTTGCATTTTTAATTAGAATGTAAAACAGTAAAAAAGAAAAAGCAGTATTTCATTGTTTTAAAGAAGAAACAGAGACAAAAATAAAAATTTTTGTGGAAGATGTTGAAGGGAATTTCTATATTTCTTGAAGAGTAATACCAAGGTCCATGGTTTACAAAGAGGATGCTGAAACTCATGTATCACTCTACAGACATGCTATTTATAGTTAAGCCAATATTCCTATAGAATGTCAAATTTGCACACTATGGGTGGTGTACATTTATCAAGGCAGGCAAACATTCATTCATTCAGTGGGAAGTTGTGAGTAAGCCATATTTGACTGGTATATACATTTCAAAAACATTTTCAGAAACATGTAGGATTTATGGGAAATTTCTTTATATGTACAAATAAGAAAACTACATGTACTAGGAAAAACATACATTTGTGGTTCTATGCATCCTTAATTTACCAATTTACATGACTGCACAATATGTATATAACGACATATGTATATGTTCCTAAGTTGTCAGATAGCCTTGGGAAATGGTCAAACTCCTTTTGTGCTATCATGTCATTAGAAATGTTGCAAAAGTAACTTATGACCTGTCTTTGTGAAATTTTTCTGAGAATTAGCAACCATAGTAGTCTTTGAAGATGTAAAGAGCAGACATGGGAGAAAGAACTATTAAAAACAACCTTCATGTAATGCAGGATGATGCTAAATGGGACCAGTGTAAATGAGCTGCTCAAAAGCAATTTTTCATACTGTTACCTTTGATGTTCTTCCCTGGGGCTCCAAGAGGGCATGAAGGAAAACCGAAGCAGCTTTCCCTCTGCCTTGTTCTTGGCAAATTATTTTATATATACTCATGGTAAATTATCCATTCCTTTTTCCCAGAAGAGAGCACGCAATATTGGACTATAATTGAACCGTTTGCAGTAGGGGAAAGCCTTTGTTTTAGGTGCTATTGATAGAAAATGAATAGCACACAGGAGAAGATCTGTTACATTGAACTCCAAATTACATAAGCAGCCCTGTATATGCAGTAAGTACAAATATGGCATGCATCAAAAATATCTCCAAAGCATGTCCTTCCTGATGAAAAGATCCTTTCCTAGTGAAAGGATCTCTGGGCCTGAATGTTTAACAAAATTCATACGTTCATGTGAGCTATGCCTGAATGGTTGCCAGATAAGAGCTTAAAAATACAGGCATAATTTTCTGCCCCCTCAATCTTACAGAAACCTGGGGTGGGAAAGCAAGTCTGTCTTTGACCTTGAGGGTGCCATTAAATAAGAAAAGACCCTACAAAATATAGCTTATTACCCCAAGGGCCATCCATCAGTGATAAATTCTATGGCAATATCTAGTGAACAAGAGCATTTACAAGCTCATTAACAAAACACTATGTCCAGGAGCCCTACCGAGGCTGTGAGTCAGAGATCTGATAATCACATTCTGTTGAAACCATACTTCTCTAGGGCATCAGCTCAAGACCTTATTGAGATGGGCAATTGACATTGCAACACACAATATCAAGAAAATCAAAGACACTTGATTTTAACCTCAAAGTATCAAACACACCCTGAATTTATAAGAAAAGCCAATGAATAGGAATTTTTTCTTGTTGAACACATCTTCTATCTTGTGTTCTAGTCTACTGATAAGCTAGATGCCTAATCTCTTGGACGATGGAGAGTGACATCTGGTAACCCAAAGTGCAGAAGTTGGACTCCGCAGAGCAGATACCCAACATGCCTGCTGATTGATCATCATGGTGACAAGGAGTAATATTTAACAGGAGAGTGCCTACCGTTGCAGCCAGCCACATGATTTCTACATTCTTTCTCTTTTTGGCTTGGATATTTTGATGGAGATTTTCTAGTAATCCTTTTAAATCATTTTGTTCTTGAAAATGTGAAATGTCTGAAAAACAAGAAAGGAGGGGGAAAAGGAAATTTGTGTTAGAGTTAAGCTGCCCACAGTGTTTTTCTTAACATATTTGCAAATGCAACTTCCAGAACAACAAATGCCACTTTGGAGCAGAGAGTATTTGAGGATAATCATACCTGGTGGGCTGCAGGCCACGGGGTCGCAAAGAGTCAGACACAACTGAGTCACTTCACTTCACTTCATACTTCCTTACCTACTCATACTTCCGGTTTATTCTTTGCTTAGAAATATGCCTCAGTTTCCCTCATTCCCTATTGTGTATAACTGGTCACAGAACACTCACCAAGAAGGGAAAATTTTTAATGATGAGGGCTGCCTCACTTCAACACAAGTATACGATGTGGATGAGGTGTGAGACACAACCTTCCATTTTTGGTGACCGAGCAGCTAGTCTGAATCACCAGATTATATCAAACTTAACATCTCAGACAGACATGAAATTTGAAGTTCAGCCAAAACACATGAAATCAGTTTCTACATAGCAAGATTCCTCAACCTAGGCAATGCTGACATTTTGGACTGGCTAACACGTTATGGAGAGCGGGCCTATATTCTGTGTTGTGGGATGTTAAATTGCATTCTGACCTCTATCATTTAGAATTCATTAGTACCCTTGCATTGTGATAATCAAAAATATCTTCAGACATTGCCAAATGTGCCTTGTAAAGTCTATCTTGGTTGAGAACAAGTGTTATTAAGGAGCAGAGGTGCGGGTGGAAAGAAGAACAATGCAAAAGGCAAAAGTTAATTATATGCAATAATTGAGGAAGGGAGCAGGAAGTGACTTACTGCTCAGATCTCTACATACTCATAACTAGAGCATGGGTAACCAATGACATGTGGTTCATATTTAAACCTAAGGAAATGTACATTATGACACAGTGTCCCTGAGTCTCAGTGAGATAGGATTCAAGTTTAGAATATATAGATGGACACAAAAAGTCTAAGAGAATGGTTGGGTTAGCACCATACTACACTCTACCATGAAATATACAAGTTGAGGGATGAAGAACTCCTGAGAGCTATAACTCAGGCTAAAAGCAGAAGAAAATACATATGAACAATATGGACTATACACAGGTTATCTAGTTACATTGAAGAGATAGATATGTTCCTGAATCTGACCATATTAAAGATGACACAAATAAGCTTTACTTATAATTAAGCTTTGCACTTTACAAAATTTTACTAGACAGTCCTTTTATTAAAATAATATATCTAAGTAGTTCTTGACTTCAGCTCCAGAGAGTAGAGGAAATACTTCCTAATAAAATGTATTTGCAATTTATACCTACCAAGAGTGGAAATGGTTGGTGAAATGGAACTAAGCATTGAAAATAATTATATACCATCTTGAATTTCATGTCCACAAAACAGAAGATGGTCAGGATAATCTAGATTCATATCCTGCTTTAGGGAGGTGAGATTCAAATTTTTAAATAAATGTACGCATGATTCTACTTTATTAGTTCCTAAATGGGAAAACTGTCAAAAGTCAATTTTTTACTGTGTAACTATTCAGTTCAGTTCAGATCAGTCGCTCAGTCGTGTCCAACTCTTTGCAACCCCATGAACCACAGCACACCAGGCCTCCCTGTCTATCACTAACTCCCGGAACTTACTCAAACTCATGTCCATCGAGTTGGTGATGCTATCCAGCCATCTCATCCTCTGTTGTCCCCTTCTCCTCCTGCCCCCAATCCCTCTCAGCATCAGGGTCTTTTCCAATGAGTCAGCTCTCTGCATCAGGTGGGCAAAGGACTGGAGTTTCAGCTTCAGCATCAGTCCTTCCAATGAACACCCAGGACTGATCTTCTTTAGGATGGACTGGTTGGATCTCCTTGCAGTCCAAGGGACTCTCAAGAGTCTTCTCCAATACCACAGTTCAAAAGCATCAATTCTTCTGCACTCAGCTTTCTTTATAGTCCAACTCTCACATCCAGACATGACTACTGGGAAAACCATAGCCTTGACTAGACGAACCTTGGTTGGCAAAGTAATGTCTCTGCTTTTTAATATGCTGTCTAACTATATACAATTCCTTTTTTTTTTTCTTTCCTAATTTTTTTGGCCACAATGTGTATGTGGGATCTCAGTTCCCCAACCAGGGATAGAACCCACACCCCATGCATGGGAAGCAAGGAGCCTTAATCACTGGTTGACCAGGGACGTCTCAATGATTCTGTTAAGAAAGAGAAACTTTCCCTAAAGACCTCGCACTGTTAGGTAGGAGACTCTGATGCACACAGATTTGAACAGGACACAGCCTAAGGATAAAGGGGAGGAGGGATAATACAGAGGGCCTTGAAGAGAACTGCTGAGTCAGCTCAGGACTCCCTAGTTAATGGAAGACATTAAGGACAATAATGGTGCCTTCTAATTGATGCTTACAGTGCAGGAGGAGTAAGTCAGGTCTGCCATCACTGCTCTTAATGCTGATAAATGGCAAACAAAATAAAACCCCAATAATCCATAACTTAGAATAATAATCAGCAATTTTAAATGATGAAAAGGGTGTATCATTGACTTAGAAAGTACCCTTGACATTGTTGAAAGGAAAAACTGGTCATATTAAAAAATGAATTTATTTATATAACATTGTGTGTGTGTGCATGAATTTATTTGTGTACCACGGCGTGTGTGCACATGCTTGCCTCTCTATGAAATTGCAGGCAGAACAAGACATCTGTTTAGATACTAACAGTGTTCATCTTTGGGTTGTGAGACTTAGGGTGATTTTTCAACTGCCTTTTAAAATATATATTTATATTATATTGAAATATAATTGATTAATAATGTGTTAGTTTCAGGTGTAAAGCAAAGTGACTCAGTTATACCTAAACATGTACCTATTCCTTCTCAAATTCTTTTCCAGTTTAGGCTGTTACATAATATTGAGCAGAGTTCCCTGTGCTAAACAGTAGATTCTTGTTGGTTATCTATTTTAAATATAGCAGTGTGCACATGTCAATCCCAAACTCCCAATCTATCCCTCACTCAACTGCTTTTTTTATGTCATTTGAGACACTTACAATAAATATGCATTGCTTTAAAATAGTAGTTATTTTAAAAGCAAGGGAGAACAGAGTACACACGTATAAGAAAAGGGGAAAAAAACCCAAATTCTCATAATACAAAGACCTGACCTCCAAGTCTCCAAGGTCAGCAGGGTGTGACAGATTTTTAAACCATTATTAACTGCAGTCAAGTGTATGTGGTCATGGGCTATGACACAAGACAGTAAAATAATATTGGGGTAGAAGAAAAGGGGTGGCCAATTCAATGAAGAATAGTTGGATCTGGAAGGGTTTCTAGCAAAGGTAATGCTTTGTGTCTACTGAGAGCATTTTATGCTGAGAGAGAAGTGTCAGCAAAGGCGTAGACCTGTGAGACGGTAGTGCAGAAACAGGAAATGTGGGAGTTCACCACGTCCTTCGGGAGCATGATCTCAGAAGCAAGAATTGTGAAGAGTTTTGCTACTACTCTGAGATATCTGAGCTTCCTCATTAAAAAATGGGAGCACCTGGTGAATTTTAAATATGGACATAACCATATTTGAGAGGTCCCTGAGACACTTTCCAAAATCACCTGGTATAAATGACTTTCAAACATTTTTGAAAGCAATACCAAAGAATTTTACTTCATATAATTCTCCAGCTAGGCACATGTTTATCCCTTTGTAACAAACATTTTATGAAATCTATTTACCCTTGGGCTTCACTGGTTACTCAGATGGTAAAGAATCTGCCTGCAATGCAGGAGACCCAAGCTTGATCCCTGGGTTGGGAAGATCCCCTGGAGAAGGGAATGGATGCTCACTCCAATATTCTTGCCTGGGAAATCCCATGGACAGAGGAGCCTGGCGAGCTACAGTCCATGGGTAGCAAAGAGTCAGACAGGACTGAGTGACTAACACTTTTATAATCATATTCCATGTTATTTTCTTTTGAATGTTGGTCCCAACCCACCAAACTGATTTAACATCTATAGGGTCAACATAAAAAAAAGCTAGCAAAGCATGGATTTAAGGCAATCCTATATTCAAGATGTTTAGGTGACTGTTTCATAAAGTTCAGAGTCACAGGAGATAAGTCAAAAACCCAGGGCCCCAGTATTGTGCCAGTAATTTTCCTCCAAACTGTGTTAGTGTCTTCACAGTTAGCTGCTGGTATAAAAAAGCAATTCCAGTATTAATACAATAAACCAGCTTCTATAGAATTCTGAGAATCCAGAACAAAGCATAATAACTTTTCAAAATGATTTAGTTTCATAGTTGATGTGAAGATTTTTAAATCAGCCACTTTAAACAGACTACAAGATTCCTAAAATAAGTCAAACAAATGGCCATCCTTTGCTCATTTCTACCACAAAAAGACAGTGCTTTCAGATACATAGAAATGATGTTCCATAGAAATTTCACTCCTTCTCCTTATGGCATGCTTTTTAGAAGGAAGACATTTGATGATCTTAAATTTTTCAAGCCACTGTTTCTATTTCTGAAAGATAAAACTTGCTTTATTCAGAGCACACCCCTATCAGTCCATCACTTTGATTGCGGCCAATTTTTTTTAACCTGACACAAATCCTGCAGGCCCAGGAATTCCAGTCTGGTTCTAGAAACATGCAAAGTTAGTAATGACTAGATAGGTGAGATTTCAAAATATAATGATAGATCCTGAAATAGCAACTGAAAATCCTGCTATACGTGGAACGTGGATTGGTTTTGTTACTGAACCAACTGGGGTCTGCTCACCCACTTGTAGGGAAGCTAATCCACTGACTCTGAGTTGAGGTGAAGGTAAGTGCTGTGTTTACTGTGGGGCACCAAGCAAGGAGTCCTGGATGGCTAGTGCTCGAAAAGCCTGAACTCCCCAGCTGACCTCAGCAAAGCATTTTTAAAGGCAAAATGAGGGAGTGGCATCCCAGGGTATGTGATCAGCTTGTGCACATTTCTCTGATAGATGGTGACCTAA